AAAGAATTTAGGAAGTCGTGTGATTACCTTGATATGATTATGAGCAATAAATTGTGCTCGAAACGTCATCAGTAAACATTACTGTATAACACTGTGAGACTTTATCAAAACAAAATTTACCCATAATGGAATGGTTAAAGGAGTATGTTATAACACTGCAAACCAGGGACAAGTGAAAAAAGTTGTGCCGAAACTTAAAGGTTGGTGACATAGTATTAGTAGCAGATAAATGTGCCACAGGTAGGTGGCCTTTGGGAGTGATAGTAAGGCTAATCTGTAGTGGTGATGGATTGGTGAGGACGGTTGAGGTGAGAACAAGTTGTGGAATGTTGGTGCGAGATATTAAAAAACTGTGTCTACTGGAAGGTGCTGAGAGTCGAGAGTCAGAGGATGAAACACTAGACGATTTTCCAACCTAGAGAGTCAACCTGAGAAGGGTTGTAGGCGTACTGCTGTAAGTCCTACAATTCTTCAAAGGGTAGAGCATCAATGAGCAGTCCGATGTGCTCGGTGTGTGATTTTGTAAATATGTTCATACTATATATACTGAATTGATGCCATCTGTCATCTAGCTGTTGGTAATTCTGTCTGTGTCCGGACATTCCACAAATTACAATCGTCAACCTGAGAAAGGTTGTAGGCGAACTGGTGTAAGTCCTGCGATTCTTCAAAGGAATTCCATCAAGATGTGATCCGCGAGTTTGTGTGTACTGTTTGTGTATACGTGTGGTGTGTCATATCAATTGATGTTTTTTGGATTCATTGTGTTTACTTGTTGTTTTCGTACCTTGTTTTTGTTGCATAATTTTGTTAAAATTTTCGTCGTGATTACTTCTGAAGTTGTGTCCACTCTTCTACATCCGTGAATAAATTGATTGATGTTAAGGACAGCAGATGGGTCGTATACGCCGGGGAGGCTAGGCTATTGCTGAGAATGAAATGCATACGGAGATAGTTATTAGCCGTGGTCCCACACGCCGGGGAAAAAGAGTGTAAACGACTGAGGCTCGCATACGTCATCGTTACTAGAATTGAGGCAGAATGAGTGACAAGCGATTTCAGTGGTAATTGGTAGTGAGTAGATAAGAGGATGTGCGTAGAGTATCATGAGTTGGTGCTATGGTCACGTTGCATTCTGCAAGAGTCATTCTAGCAAGTGGCGATTGTGCTGCAAGATGTCAAGAGGAGGTCTCTATCTGGAGGCGCAGGTAGTCATTGATGTGTGAGATTGTGCTGTGAGTATGCTTGTGGTGTGTTAGCTTTTCTGTTTGTTTTCCATTTCAGCTCTGTCCGTGTGACCCAGGTTCTCGCAATGGCATCCAAGTCAACGTGTATTGGTCGTGATGGAAAAAAGGGGTTGGATCTCTTTTTTGCCGGGGAGTGTCAATGTAGTTGAAGATTGAACGATCAATTCATGGTTGTTTGCTCAAAACCAACTTCCCCAATTTTCGCGGAGGCATCAATACGACAGTCATCGTCTCATCGGTCGCTGTTCAGAAAGAAGAGTAAAACACCGTCAGAAGTAATCTTGTGATTTATTATTGTAATATTTGTTCACAGACCTTAGTTCAAATATTATTTTTATATGTTGGTGTAACAATAAAGAATCCACGAGTCACCAATTGGTCTTTTGGATTTTTCGTCCGTTATAACTAAGCGTTTCCGAAAAACTTCAAGGAACAGCGTGAGCCAGAGCGTAGCAAGAGCTGGGCATTAACGGTTTATGAGACGTGGCTGACACTTTCTGATGGTAGAAACAGATTCTGGTGGATTGAAACAGTTGGTGAAAGTTTGGATAGTCGCCGTTCATTTTTCCTGGTGCCGGTCAAGTCCTCTTTGAACAAGCAATATCTGGAACGCTTTTGGAATAGGGTCAAGTTCAACAATGCCTGGGTCAAAGAAGGGACAGAGCGTCTTGGATGCAAACGGGAAAGTAAGTCATGTTGACTTGTCTGTTACTTGTAGCGATGTGTCTGATGTTAAGCATGACATGGTTGATGTTACTGTTTCGCCGTTCAGGGATAATAGGAACATCAAACTCCCTAAATTTGAACCACGGTGTTTCGACAGAAACCCGGCTGATTATTTACCATTTTTAAAGGAGTTTGAGATCATGCTGAGTAGTTTTTTATTAAGTGATGAATTGAAATTGATGTATTTGACGAGGTATTGCACTGGAGATGCTTCAAGAGCTATACAGTGCTGTAAGCTCATGCCCCCTAATGAGGGATACGCTGAGGCTATGAGCATATTACGTCGAAGGTTTGGAAGACCTTCGATGATTGGAAGGAACGTATACTAAGCTGTCAAAGGTAATGGCAGTCAACTTCAAGATGACTCCAAGGCACTTACTGAGTTTTTAGATAATCTTATGATTTATAAGAGTACCTGGTTCCTAAGTCGGCCAAGGACTTAAGGCCAGTTTTCAACATAACTGTGCAAGCGCATGACAGGTGAATGGAAATAAAGATTGCTGCGATAGCTAATGTGACCTTTAGCGACTTTGGCTCCAATAGCGTTCTATATCACTTCTGAGATTTAGCAAGGTTATCGGAGTCAGTGACTTGAATGACTAGATTTAAATGGTTATACTTGTGCCCCATCACTGAACCTTGGCTCGGGGCATGCTAAGGGAAAATTCGGCCGAAATCTACCGCGAACTATTCAAAATGCGGGACTGACTGAGAATGTTGGAGAGGACGCTAGGTGGGGCCCTATAGGAAAGTCATCGAAACCAGACTGCATTCTAACTTTGTGAACAACTACTCGTCGAAAAGGTCAAGATCATGACTCCTCTGGGAAGTAGTGACTATACAGTCATAGGTTTCTATTTCGTCCTCCGTGAGAACTTGCAGTGGGACGCTACGTGACCATCTTTATGCCATAACCAAGCGGACTATGCTGAAATGCGGAGACTTTTTGTCCGACGCAGACTTGTCCTTAGCATGGATGAGGTATCTGTGGATGAACACTGGAAAGTGGTAGAAACAAGATTATTCATACACCAATCTTGATACCGTCCGTTTAGTCATAACACAACCCAAAAGCAAGTCACCATGGCTGAGGAGAGGCACGCAACGCATTCTGCGAGCGAAGCGGAGGGCTTGATTTACTTGGCGCGTAACTAGGAGTCAAACCGACCACAACGCGAGAGTCAGGAGTGACTGGAGGTCATCCCAGGCTAATCTTGCCAAAAAACTCCTAGCAAACCCAAAGTGCTTGTATCGATTCATGTCGGAAAGAAAACCAACCTACCATGGGAAATGCGCCTTAGTAGGCCCAAACGGTCAATATCTCACTAGTTTGGAGATGGCTGAAACATTCAGTTCAGCCTTCGCCAAACAGCTAAACAGCAATGCGGGTATTACAGTTACGGGCCAAAATGGTGGCGCTACTATTTCACAGGAGGAAGACCTAGTGGCTACTCCCCAAATAAACCTGGCAATAGTACTAGGGAAGCTACAGTGGCTCACACCTGGGAAGTCCCTAGGTCGACATCAGGCCATCTGTTCTGAGACACTACGCCAAAGCTCCCTGTAGGCCCATATGCGACTTATTTCAACACTCTGTAGATTCGAGGAAAATGCCAAGGGAGTGGAAAAGAGCTATCCCTTCTCCGATCTATAAGGGTGGGGATAGGCAAAATGCCACTAGTTATAGACCAGTGGCTCCACTCCCAGTGGCATCAAAAGAAGTAGAAAGTATTATTGACGATCACATCAGGGAATACCTCGGTAGGTCTAACATAACCATGAAGCCCAACATGGTTTCAGGAAAAGCAGATCCTACATAACAAACCCACCATCAGCTTGGGACGACTGGACATCATGCTGGGATGTGAATATTCCAGTTCGTGAGGTCTTCCTAGACTTTAAGAAGACATTTGACACAGTTCACCATGACATTCTCCTACACAAAATAAGTCAGGTAGGTATAGGTAAGCCACTTCTGTCATGGCTAAGGGACTACCTAGTTGAAAGGCAATTTTTCACTAAGACCGATCGAGTCCGACCACCTTGGCGCAGCTCGTCATCAGGGGTGTCTCAGGGTTCTATCCTAGGACCACAGATGTTTTTGATTTTTATAAGTGATCTAATATGCCGTCTAAGCTGCCTGACTCTTCCATACGCTTACTACGTAAAGATATGGAGGGATATTAAGTGTCCGGAGGAATCAGATAGGCTGCAAGCAGACCTAAAACTTCTGGAAGCCTGGGCAGTGGCCAGTGGCATGACTTTCAGCATGAAAAAGTGCAAAGTAGTGAAGTTACGCACGTGCAGACTACGGAATGCAAGTTACATCCTATGCAATGAAAACTTGTCCTGCACAACGTCGGGACGCGACTTAGGTCTAGTTCCAACTGAAAAAATGGACACACGCGTAAACTACACAGGGGGCGTAGCGAGGGCATATGGGGTCATACACTTTACACATAGACAGGTGCACTCACTCCTGAGCTATTTCTAAGGTTGCACAAAATATACGTCGGACCGCACCTTGAAGTGCATGATATTATTGCATCCCCACTGCCTAGAAGAGACGCCAACCTCTTTGAAAGAGTTCAAAGATGGGCAACAAAAAGAGTGGTTGGTCTCCGGAACAAACTATATGATGAGAGGCTAAAGAAATTAGGCCTATTCACACTTAGCTTTCTTCGGCTTATGGGGATTTGATTACTGCCCAGAAAATAACGAATGACCAGAATCACCCAAACAAAGGTGTTCTGCCATTGAATAGGTATAGACTTCCTCGTGGAAGTCCCAGAAGGATAGCTCATTAGAGGGCAAGGACCCGGGTGCGCTCCCACTTATTTTCACTGCGGGTTTACCGTCCATGGAATTCCTTACCGGCATATGTAGCTACGGTTCCGTCTGTGAACACCTTTAAGCGAAGTTTACCGGAGATCCGGAACCTATACCTCACAATCAAGGCGCGAGCACAAAGAAATCAAATTGGTTTATACTACGTCGTAAAAGCAATATTGGATATTGGAACTATCAATCACAGCAGTTTTTAATTGTGGTGCTACGTCGTGATCTACCAATTACAGTGTGCATAATTGACCTTCAGGTGCTCAGCCTCTCCATAAGCCATTTGTGCCGTGATCGTCCCTCTCTTGATGTTTGCTTTCAAGGTAGGGAGGTTAGTTGTTTGTCCCCTTGTTTTGTACCCTTTTTCATAACATGGGTGAAGTCCGACGTCGGGTAACGAAGATCTTCGACCACTGGCGCATCCTCGAGGATCACCACTTCGACTTCTAAAGTTTAACTTTAGCATATTATCTAGGCTCTTATTATTTGTGAGCCTCGAACTAACGAAGTCATTCTCTGAAGTGCCTAAGATATCAGTATGTCAGGTTACACCTTGACGCTTAAGAGTTAATTGACTCCAGATATATGCGGTCACAATTCATGGCAAATTAATAAGATGAGGTGTCACTGTTTCCCCAGTTTGTCCTATTGGGGGTCACCCGATTTAATTGGAAACTCAGTTTACTTATGTGCTGATTATTTCACATGAGAATACAGTTTCTAAGGTCCTAATCTTTGAATTTTTGACATTATAATGGCACAAAATGTAGCTATCCCTTACTCAAATGGTTTTTCGTCTCATCGGCATTTGCATGAATAACGCTCAAAATTTTCAACACACTTATACTTGACAACTGTTGAGAGTCAACTTAAAGGTCTTTTTATTCAATCTGAATACATGTACACTAACAGCCCACACATAACTTTCTTTAAAATGAGTGGCTGTACGCATCAAAGTACATTGGAAGTAATTGAGGGACGCACTTATTTGAAGTCTTTATGTAAAATGGCTCGTTTAAGTACTTGTATTTGTAGCAGTGGAAAGGTAGCGTACTAAGCAAAAACGTTTTTCCCCAGTAATCTTAGGCAGTACTTTTTAGGAGGATTGTGGAATACTTGGTATTGCTTATTGCAGGAAGTGTTCAGGCGTATTCCAAAGAAATGGCCATAGGGACTCAGCAACGTTATTCATTTTAATGTAGGTAAAAATGTATAAGTGGCTGCAGAAATTGACTGAGAGATACGGACAAGATGGAGATTTTGAAAATAAACGTGAGTACGTTATTGTTTTCGACCATATGTCCTAATGGCATCGGTCGTGTGTTATACAAGCCTGAAACAAGCTGTGTCCTAATTCTACGTAAGGATGTTTGTTATTCCTGTTTTCAAAGTTTTGTGATGTAAAAAATGACAGTTACTTAGGTTCTTCTATTTATGATTGCACCTAAGTGCAACAAATTCAAGATTTTACAGTTGACATTTAGATATAGATTGCGAGTAGAATCTACTATGTGTAAAATAGAGGGACAGTTGACAATACACCAATGATGGCCTTTACATTTTCGTGGACATGAGGAATTAACACATCTGATCTGTTCTTTTTTAACCACTGATTCATAACAGTAGGAAAACTCCAGTCAAGTAACCTACATCATTTTAAATAGGACAAGGTTTGCAGTGCTGTAAAGTTAATGAACTTCTGGACTTCAAGGAGACGTATTGGGAGATATCCTAAAAAGAATATCTAGTTCACTAAACAAGACTTTGTACCAACCCTAAGAGTGATATTCTGCAGTCGCTCACCGCTTTCAAGTATTTTGAGGGACAAACTTCCTCGCAAAGCCATTTCACTGTGTATATGTATCAGTTCATCTGCTCCTATGGGGTTAGGTATGTAGGTCGTTCTAGGCGTTTTGTTTCGAAAAGTGTTAGTGGATACTATCCAGCATAGCTATAAAGAGGAGACACCTGTTCAATCAAAAGCGCTATACTAAACACTTCTCTAGCACCTTTCACAGCATCTCAACCGAATCATCACTGATTCGAACGAAAAATAAACACAGACCTACCGAAAATAATGTTTCTGACTTTTTGTGCTGCAAAAACCTTTGCCATTATGAAACGAGAAGTTGGAGCTGCGTTAAAAAGAAGCATTTTTCCTGAACCTAGTCCCATTTGGTTCCTTTCCCCTGAGTATATTTTCATATCTGTTTATGAAATATTTCATCTGATCCTACTCACAATCTGTTCTCGGCAAAGGTACTTTTCATTTTAGGTAACGATCTTCATAATTCCGTATTATATTAGCTTCTACACCCCTTTTAATTTACATTACGCTGTCACTACATTTGCAAGCCTCTATATCAAATAGGGAATTATCTTTAAATTTCACTGACATTTGGAATTAAATAATAAGTCTAACTAGGTAAGCTTATTTGTGAAAATGCGACTCTACAGCTTTTCATTATGAAGTGGCCGAAAAGACATTGATGAATTCTTTGTTTTCTATCTAATGTTATGATGGGTATTTCTCACAGTTCGAAAAATAAGCAAATGATATACATCCCTGATTACGCATTATACATTTGATTACTGTTGTCAAGCAAGTTAGTATTAAGAATTTATCACCTTCAGTGTTAATTGAAAGTTAATTAATACTTCAGTTTAACTACTTTAAATTTACAATTCGTTCTTGCCGATATTTATTTTCCATAGGAGTGATAGAGAGTAATCTCCTTCATATTTGGTTATCAGTGTTACAAATAACCAAGATGTTGCTATCAAAAGGAGTATCGTTGATTCTGAGGTGAGTTTACAATATTAGGTTTCTATTATTTTCAAGCTACCATATATATATATATCCTGTAATCAAAATGTTCAACATCATAAGAATACTGTTCATAAAAATGATTGGAATGAACTTAAGCGTTATATATTGAGAAATAGACTTTAAAAATGCTTGTTAGAGTATGTTCAAAAATGACCAACTGTCAGTCTATTCCTGATTCCTACTTGGTAATTCTGTGTAATTCACTAGCACTTATTGTGATGAATGGCTTTTGGACTTTTCCCTTATTACCTCATTTTGGAAAAATTTAACAATATTTACTGAGTTGTGCAGTTGATATTTACTATGGCTTAGGATTACTTGGTGAAAATTAAACGGATATAATTTTCAAGTATTGTGCTGTGGGGATATGACTGACTTCAAGGCGAACTTCTCTACAAACCAACATCAGTTGGTGGACTGTTGAAGACCAGAGAGATTTTTCTTTGACCATAGCTGTTGAATGGATAAATTGGGTAGATTTTTCTGTGTGATTTTAAGTGAGACATTTATATTATTCTTGGTAAATTTTTATTTCCAGGCACTTTAAAGTTATAGTATCCAAAATTGTCGAAAATCATACATGTGTAGGGTGTTCAACGTGTTAATTCGACATTTAAAGACTCATATTTGAAATAATTTACGGAGTTCTGTTTACTCTTAAACCTGAGGTTTAAAACGGTAAAATCCACTTTTTTTAATACTTTCTTACTCGTGGGGTTTTAAATCACTTAGTACTGAGTGGTTCAATGATAAAGTGTTCACCAACCACGTGTGATTCTGGTTCGACTTCCGGCCGATATACTTAAGCGTCGCTTAGCTGGTGATAAGCCTGGTAAAGCGGGGAGGTAAGGCGTGAGACTAGCAATCCGCTACTGGAAATTCAAAGCTGAAGCTTGAAGCCCCATGTTCGACTCGGGACGCAAAGAAATGAGAAAACATTACATACCATAGTGTCGACATCTTAAATGTCTTCAAAGTGACTTGAGTTATAACTAAGCTTCAAGTACTGGACTTTCTAAATTCTGGCATTGAAATTTTGCTCCATCCTGTAATATCTTAAGCTCACACACTAGGGTTAACTCATCTTATTAAATTTAGCAAAGAGATAACTGAGAGTGTGTCTAAATATCACATAGGTATTAATTTTGAAGAAGATTAGCACCATATCCAGTTTTCTGTAGAAACGGTTGATGATCTGCACAAGTATCGGCCATTGGTATGTCTCTTTTCAAGGGTTTGTAAAATTTGTAAGGACAAGACTGTCTCTCTGTCTGTCGACATAGAACTTTACACATATGTGCGGCAGTTCAAGTCGCCACACTCCATGTAGCACACAAAGCAACAGAAGAAAAAAAGTAGAAGAAATGCATAATAGAGACAGTAAACAGAGGTGTGAGACAAAGGAATAGTAGTAACGAAGAACAAAACAGTTTCATTGGAAATCATAAGTCACAAGGAGTGGATGCATCTGCACCAGCCGTTAAGAACGATTTGGAGCCATATCACCAATTGTTTCCAGACATTGGTTTTTACCGTCCCGAGGACCACAACCAGTTAGGAAGTCTGCGCCTTCCTACGTGGCTTAAACTAACTGTTGTAGATTTCATTGACTGGTGCCATGTTTTGGTTTGACCTCTGCTAGCTCTTTTCCAGCCTGACCCTATATCAGCTAACTTTGCTCGTCGAGGAAGGTGATGACTAGGCATACGTAACACATGTCCTAACCACCTCGGTCTTTGTAACTTCACAGCTTCGTCGATTGATTTCCCCTGTTTACTTAGAACTCAACGCCTAACCTCAATATTGCTCACCTTATTATGCCACTTCACACGGGAGATAAAGCCCAGGTACCTATGATCAAAGACAGCTAATCTTTTCATGTCTTCCACTCTCAATGGCCAGGTCTCACAGCCATAAAGGAGGACGGAGCGGACTGATGAGCAGTACACCCGCCCTTTGGTCGATAGCCAGTCGGATATCACGTCTACGCCAGAGACGGCGTAAACTGGCATATGGGAGACTAGCACTCTGTATCCGTGCTGAGATTTCGTCAGAGATCAACCCGTTGGGGTGATGGTACTTCCCAAGTAAGTGAAGCGGTCAACGTGCTCTACCACTTCACTTCTTATTTCTAATCTAGGAGTCGGTGTATTCCAGTCCTGTAACATCATCTGACATTTTACAGTAGGAGCGAATCGCATGCCAAACATTCGTAGATTGCAACTCAAGATGTTCAGAAGACTCTGCATTTTGTCAGCGTCCTCGCCCAGAAGGACTATATCGTCTGCATATTCTAAGTCAACGAGATTATTCCTTGGTAGCAAGTCAATCCCTGAGTCGCTAAAGTGAGTTAGGGTTAAATCCATTAGTACATCTATGATGAAGTTGAATGGAAATGGGGATAATGGGCATCCTTGTCGGACACCACTAGTCGTCACCAGTTCGATGATAACCCTCCGTAAGCCCTCACCTGGCTGCATGAGTATGAGGACGAGACACTAATTGATGAACTGAAGCAGGCTCGCAGCATATGTGATACAACAAACGCAAAGGATTATGAGTTAACTAGAACTCGGACAAATGTATTCTAGTACATTTTAATCATCTCGGAACATTTATTACACCGTGAACCTTGAAGCACACATGTATCATTTTTATAAGCTAATGTATCCTGAAAACTTTATTGTATTCCACAATAAAGGAAAATTACCCATTGACAAGATAACCTCAGTCATTTTTATCAAACTACCATTCTAGGACAACTAAATTTATGCAAATGATAACTTAAAAGCTTCTGTTAGCTAATAAGTATACCTTCTACACATCACTATTACAAATGATTCTTTCTCACTTATTTAACGTAATTCCAATTCAGGATCATTAATGGTGATGGAATCACTTTGGAATAATCACATATGAGAAAACAGCTGATTTCACTTGTTTGCTTACGCTGAGTTACTTGGCCAGTTCATATATAATTTGTTTTTAGTATTTCGTCTAATCTGATATATTCCATTGTCAAATATTTCATTATTGTCAAACGTGCTAGCTGTAATGCTATTGCGAGGGAGCTAAGAAATTATATTCGTCTTTCGAATACCTTATTAAAATGTTGGTTAAAATCCTTTTCTTTTCAGGAAACCATTCCAAGTTACTTCAACTCGCTTCTACAAATCATCAAAAGAATTAATCGAGAGGTAATTTTTTTCCTTATAAGGTTATTTTCCAAGTGGTGAGTCAGCCATTACTATTTCCTCCGATGGAGCAGTTATTATATGCTGGCATCCTGCTAAAACTGTTCCTTATGAATGTACTAGAGTAGGTTTGTTTTTGTGTACACTTATTTTCGCTTTCTTGATAGCCTATTTCACATGACATAAATTCACTTCGTATACCGACCTCCCCTTTAAAAATCAATATGACGAATTCACTGTCTCCAGAATTTAAAGAACCTACTGTAGTAGAATTATCCAAAGCATTTGGCGTTCCATGGTTTCATTTCCGACCTAGGTATGTTAATATACAGTAACAATAAAGTTTACTCCTTCTTTTATATTTTTGTAGAAGAAGTCAAAAATCCTTTTCACCTTATTTTTGGGCTCCAATTAAAGAACGAAACAGTTTATAAATTTCTTAGTAGTAGTATGTATGCTTTAATTATAAAAAGAAAAAAAAACAATAATTCGTTTGCATAAATTATTTTTGTTCTACCTGTCTTACACATACACACACATCTACGATCAGATGCTATAACAATATATTTTACAAAGATTTATGTTGGATGGTAGTCTGTTAAAATGTAAGAATAATAATGGTAATAATTTATCAAGATTGTGTACACAGTTAAGTAGTGTGATATTCTTGTGTAAAGATTGTACATAGATGCAAAGACTGACAGTCAGTCGCGCAGATAGAGAGATGGGGTTTATTATTATTATTGTTGATGTAAGATTTGCCTGTATATTTAATGACGGTTGTAGTATGCTAGAGTATAAGAAAATCAGTAGTAGTAGTAGTAGTAGTAATAGTGTGGCATCAGCAACAAGAATCACAGTTTATTATTCACACCAACAGAGATTAACGCAGAAAAATATTGTCGATAAATTGTAAACATCACACCTTAAAATCTATAACAAAAACAAAAAAAATAGGATAGCCACCTTACCAAAATGTGTATGTTAGTCATTTAAAAATTTTTGTATGCGTTGCAGTAATAGCAAAATCACATCAAGATGCATTGAATAAAATGATTAAATTCGTTTAGCAGGCAGAAAAGGGACAAAACTTGTGTGATGATTAGCACGTTAGTTTGCCACCCAAGATTTTCAACAATATTATTATCATATATCAGTTCACTTCTTTTGTTCTCATAATATATAGTTCTTATTCGGTGAATCTGTAATGTGCAGATTATATTATCATATTAAGGGGAAGCCCAGTGTAGATAAGAATCTAAATAAGATTTAAATGAGTTTAATGAATTCATGTGTTTAATTTGAACCATAGTAAGCAACATTATCTAGTGAAAAAAATACTGTGTAATTTATCAGAAAAAGGTGTGTACAAGTTACATTTTTACTTAGATAAATTTTAAAACTTGCCGATGTAACTTGCTTTCACAACTATTGAATTTCTTCCTGAAATAAGGGTTTATATTTGAAGAGAAATAGTTAGGGTAAGCAGATGTGTATACGATAAGAGGTGACTTAATTTTTATAGTCTAATTATTTTGTAGACTCCATCTGAGTAGTAATTGTTGATGTTATCTGTATTAAAACTGCTGAACTTGAATTGTGAATCGTCTTTACTTTGATGATAGTAAGGAGGAGGTTTAAAGAGGATCAGAGGTTAGTATTTTTCAGATCTATTGTTGGATTCTTGACATAAACTCACTTGTTTTCTTTAAGTTAGTGTTTATCAGAGTTCTAATTTGGCGTCTGGCATATCGGATAACATGGATATTAGCGTTTCAACAGCTACCACTTTTAGGCTGCTATTTCAATGTTGTATCTATAACTTACGTGTCAGAATACGAAAATATTTTATTGTTCAATTGGTGTATCAAGTGTATAGCATTTTCATACATTACACAACTGTGATAAGTCAGTGATACTTTATGGATCAGAGACTTTAGGCGTCATGTAGAGCACCTCAGACAAACTATAAACCTTCATCAACACCTGTCTTCGCTCAGTACTTAAGATCAGATGGCCAAAAAGATCAGCAATGGGGATCTCTGGCAATGAGCGAACCAACCAGGAACCGACTGTGAAACAAATAGGCAGGAAGAAATAGAAATGGATTGGCCATACTCTGAGAAAACTATCAAGTGACATCACAAGACAGGCCCTCGAGTGGAACCCGAACGGGAAGCGGCGAGTTGGTCGTCCAAGGGCGATATGGAGGAGGTCATGTGAAGAGGAGATGAAAGCATGTGGGCAGACGTCGAGCCAGGTGAAAACGTTAGTACAGAATCGAACGCAATGGAGACGTGCGGCCGAAGCCCTATGTTCCTCTATGAACTAAAGGAAACAATAAGACAACACAACTGTGATAAGTTGATATTCAACCACAAGCACAGAGGATTTTTTCCAGGATAGAGCATCATTCATAATCGATAAACGTCTCGATATAATGCAACTGGCGGAAGATTATCACTGTCAGTAAACTGTCTTCGTTCTCAACTTATTTGGTCAGACATGTTAATTTTCGTCCCTTATTAATTATCATTGCACGGTTTAAGTTCATTAGATAACTCACTAATATTTGTGAAACTGGTTGTTATATGGAAACATACATTCTAAAATATTCCATTAAAGGCGATATAGAAGGGCAATCTTATTAATTCACATGTAATAAACAAACGGATTAAAATAGTAGTAAATAAATAAAATTAACAAACAATCGCTGTTCCATACCGTGACGATATCGTCTATCAGTTGGTGTGGGTGGTTTTGGTGGTTGGCATGTGAGCTGTTGACGTGTCTTTAAATCATGCTCATGCTTGTTATCATTCAGGTTCATATTCTTTGAATGACAGTTTGAACAGTAGAGCAAATTTCGTCGGACACGGACTTCAACATCTGATAAACCATCACCCAATGAAATACCACATCTTGCACATACAAAACATGGTAGGTGGTAGTAAAGATTTAAAGACTCGATAACCATTGAGTCCTCAAAACCTGTTTGAGGAGTAGAAAGAGTAGATTTTGACCAAACAGATTTGCACAAATAAAGAAAACTTATACTACTGTTATATTAATTAGTTGTGGATAAATGTTATAACTTTAAAAAATTATAGTACTGTTTTGGAATAAAGCAAATTATTATTATTATTCTCAAATAATCAGGTACTTATGTGAAGAAGTGGCTGACGATAGCAACAGTAGTAATGTAATTTCACATATCTATGACGTTTCTATGCAGTTAAAATGAGACAATCCATTAATTAGTAAGGCATCATTTGATGATAATCTCATGTATATGCTGAATGACAGCCGAATCAAATTAAAACTTGACCCAGAAATTCGTCAGTTCACGTTGCTACGCTTCGAGAAGATACATGTACATTGAAGAATAAAATCGTAATGATACCAAAGTAGACAAACATTTGTGAGGATTAGTATGAATTTTCAGTATGTGGAAATGAAAAGAAAAGATGTTCACTTGATGCCCTTCATAATCGACGTGTTTAGAGTTGACGGCATGTTTGAAATATCGCCTATACAAACACCCTGCCATAAAATACAAATTATAGTTGATTAAGTCGGCATATACAGTTATTTAGAAATGACAACTTGTAACCTCCCATAAGAGCAAAATATGCAATATAGGTAGCCTGATGGTTACCTTTTGCTGTCGGCAGTATTGCTTCGCACCATCCCTTCATTATAACAGCAACTGCTCCCAGTGTTGCTTCTGCCCTTCCGACCTTTGTAATATGATGGCAGCCGTTTTGTTAACCTGGTTCATTAGGTCATTGTGAAACCAGCCGTCACGTCCAAACAGCAGTTATTGTTCGTGTTGATTACACATGAGTTAGTGGAATTGCGTATAAATGAAATTAAAGTTCTGGATTGGGAATAAGTTTCCCACATAAACTACAGTAGAACCAGGTAGATAAGCCTTTGTCAATATTTTTTACGAAGTTGTGAGAATTGGTTATAAAGAAAGTTGTAACTTGATACAAGAATAGAACTTGTGCACTGTGATGGAGCATAATTCCATCACGGGTAAAATTTATTTTGATGAAGTTTCACGGTGTTATACAGTAATATTTACTGATATCAAGGTGGAATATGATTATGAGCAATAAATTGTGCTCGAAACGTCATCAGTAAATATTACTGTATAACACTGTGAGACTTCATCAAAATAAATTTTACCCATAATGGAAAGCTGTGACTTATTACCGTTTTTTGAGCAACCTTGATGTGCCCGTTGAGCAGTTTTAATTTCTTCTTATGAAAGGTTGGCATCTGTTTAAAATTAGTTACCTAATATTCTAGTTTTGTGACACATTATGGAATAACTTTATTATTTACTGAAGTTTCGAACATAATTTCCTGCTCATATTCATATCAAGACACTCACAAACTTTGTTTATTTAATGTCACTACTTCTTATCCTTAGAATTTACAGGTAGTAGTGTCTTCCTTATGTCTGATATCGCCGTTGCGCCATTTCCGTTGCACATGTGTGGTGTAGATTTGGAGTGAGGATAAAATCTATTGCGTGGTATTTTCACGCATATTATAGTAAACGCTACAACAGATATGACAGCAGTGTAAAAATAAGTCGATAAAGTACCTTTAAAACAGCCAAACGTAACATCTAATATAATTAGAGCCTACCTCTGGGCAAGTAACACAAAATCACCTACCTGCCTCTGTTCTACTTACACAAGTGTACTTAGACGAAAGCGCGGAAAGTTTGATTTGCAATATCCTTGCCTGTAGAATCGATGAACAGAAATTGAGTGATCAACCTCTCCTTGAACCTACCTAGGTTACTTTTTAGAACTGTAACTGTCCCAACCGATTGTGTGTTACTGCACGCGTTACGACTGCGGAATTATTCTCTAAGCTGTTCATCTTTCGATCATTTTACACTTAGTTAAATTCCTACATTCCGATAACCTGAATGACCTTGACCTACTGGTCTGATCTATGTAGTTTACCCCACGGTCACTGCAGGTTTTTTTTATAGATTTTTTGTCTAATTGTAGTGTCCTTTAGTCTACAGAGCTTGTAGGTAGTTTAAGGGAGAGATTGATCACTCAATCTTTGTTCATCGAATCCACATCTAACTTGTAAAGTAGAAATGACGGAACGCCGATACCAGGGTACAACAAGACATTACTATCAATAAGATCGAAGGATATGAAATATTGAAATAAAATAAGCAAATTTTAGAGGTTATACGAGTTATGTGTATCCTGAGTACAAATCAATCATCAAACTATTCATAGTGTTATGTAACTCCGTTTTGACAACTATTTGTGACAACTAATCACCTTTGTTACTACACTAGCTTCATTAACACCAAATTTTCTTGACCGTTTTTGTATTACTTAACTGCACCCAAAACTTACTGATTTTCACCTGTTTAGTTAAAATAACCATGACGAACTTAATGTACACATGCCTACGAAATAACTCATATATGTTTGCGATTGTACAGCTAAGAAAATGAATTCGCCGGAAACAGACTCTTCGTTGAACTATGTGTTTTGTTTTCAATAAATTCTGCTCGAAAAGTCATCAGTAAATAATATTGTATTACTATGTGCTCTTATCATATAAATTTATTCTATGACATAATTATTCCCCACCACAGTGTCCAAGTACTATCCTTGCATTAGTGGCAACGAAAATTTATCAATATGTAATATCAACAATGAAAGCTGATTAGTTATGAGAATGATGAACGAAAACTTCATGAGGAAATTTAAGTTATGCTGTTTTTAAAATTCTTCTCTCGTGTAGTTCAAGACAACAATTGATAATAAACTCCAATACAGAAAATTTTTTTTATTCCTTTACGTTCCTAGTGGAACATAGGGCTTCAGGCTAGAGGCCTGAAGTTTCTGTAAAAGTGGTGTTTATTTTTACGGGATGAGGTTGCTAGCCTCATGCCCAACCTTCCCCAGTCTTTACCAGTCTAATTCCTGGCTTGGCGAGGTAAAGGAGTGCGTCGGCCGGAAATCGAACCCCCGACCATATGCGTGGTTGGCGAGCATTCTACTGCTGTGCCACCGACGCACTAATGGTACTGGGTATTGGTTTTCAGGAGAACCGAACACACCTATCCCTGCCTCTTGCGAGACGAGACATGCATGCAGGGTGTGGCGTAACCACTCGAGAGCCGTCTCCCTCAGTGGACCAAAAGTAAGTCGCTAGCAGGAATACTGCATCGGAATATAGTAGAGTGAAAAGAATGTGTTTCATTTTGGAATCAATAGCTAACAAATACATAATAACACGTGGTATACAATAAAGTAGTGTATGATTCTGGTTCAAAACATTTGAAAAGGTACAGAATTCTGCATTTATTTTTAATCTAACTAACAGTCGTATCATTCATTGCTACATAAATATTCTCGTAGTAATAAGTGTTGAAAATCAGAGTATCTTCAGTATGTGAGAACATCTCAGACACTAAACGAGGATGGAATCTTTAAGTAATTTGGTGGATGGTGAACAGCAGTGAAATCCAGAATGCTTATTTCGTTCTACTTGGGACTTATTAGCTGGATGTCACTGCATTTTCCAATGAGTGATGGTGTTCTCACTGAGACCCGAACGCGCTACCCATCTTTTCGAAGACCAAAGTGTTATCCACTAGACCACTTGGGCTATGAGAGACACCTCCTGTGCAACAGCATCAGTTATTATCTCTTTAGGTCCATTTCGACTCCCTCCTTGACCGATTAGATTTCGTCCTACCTGGGACTCGTCAACAGGCCGAAAATTTCGGTCCAATCAATCAACAGAAAATTACAGTTGGCTTAAAAATATAATGAGAATGAAGCTGTTCTTCAAATAAGAATAATTTATAAGGAAAACTATATTGGTCTGTTCATTTATAACAGTCCAGCAAGTTTAAGCTTACTCCACTCCTATCTTCTCATTTACTTTCGTATATATCTGTATTGTGAATAAAGTACTTAACAAAGGCATGGGATTACTATAATAGCTACATGAAATATGGTGACTGAGAATGACATGCTGAGTAGGTAAGTTAAGGAACTGATATGTTAGTGGTTCGCACTTACCTAGTTTTGCATTACACGCTGCACATAACTGATCAAGGTCAACTACTCGTATACGTGGAGTTCGAGGAGGTAAAGGGGGAACTTCAGCCTCTAAACGAGCATATATTTGAGGTGGTGTTGGCAGTGGAGTTTTGCATTTTTCGAAGGAGCTGTAATTAGAAAAGAATGAAAAACAAATCAATATAAGAAAAAAGTAATAGATGCATCAAATAAAAATTATTCTAATATGAGATGTTTCGATTAATTAGAAAGAGCAACGTGATTTTTCTTTATTTGAAATAAGATAGTTCATAAAGGTGTACCTTTATTAACACACTATGGTTATAGGATCATTCAAAGTATAGTTTTAAGCAATGTACTCTTGATAAACAAAGCTATGCATTAAATGTTATATGGTTGATTGAATTGGCAGGAAGCCTTAGACAAAAGTTTCATGCTTATTAATACTTGCCAGACAGATGTACCTTCAATTTCAAAGGTATTCTAGCGCTACTTACCAATGACCAGCTTCGACTAGACAAAATGACATTAACTGCACCTGAGTGACCAATCAATGTAAAGCTAAGCAGTGAATATATTGTCGCAGATGTCTGGACTTTACGACATTCTGCATCGATGGTTACTATGTAGTTGCATTTACGTCACCTACGTTTTTCGCAAGAGGAACATTTTTATTTGATGACCTGAAGAAGCCTGGTGCTGTGTCGCTGTGTACTGTCAAATCAGCAAACTAATATGGGATTCAAGTATTGGTTTCTAGGGATTTGATTGATTGGCTTCAGGATTTCATCATGAGCTGACATCGGTTAGAGAACCATTGTAAAACCTGGGAGTAATGGATAGCTGTTTCCCCCGTCCTAGTTTGGGACTCTCGGTCAGTACGCATCCACCGGGGTTCGAACCAAGGACCTTCTGGTTACAAGGCGGACTCGTAGGTCATTAAGCTGTCCAACACTTTCAGTTTTCCAATGGTTCTCTAAGCAATGTCAGCTCATGATGAGATCCTGTAACTAATATGAGATTGTATTTTTTTTTTCTTGATAGCTTTAAAACGATGTGTAGCTCATTCAACATCAGATGCGGTGGCGCTAAAAATGGAAAGTTTACAGAACATAGAATTCATGGACTATTAGATTCTGTCCCGATGATTGAATGGTCGACGGGATCGCGTCATAGTCTGAACGTCTTTAATTCGGTTCCTGGTGGCAGTATGGGTGCGTAATGCTGAAGGGTCCCAAATTGGGACAGAACAGCTGTCCAGCACTCTCTGGTTTTCAGTGGTTCTCTAACTGATATCAATCCATGATCAAACATGAAAACAATCAAATCCCTGCAAACTAACACCTGAAAATTAATCTGATGTTTACTGGTGACTGGATACAGGATGAAGTTGCCTGTAGTTCTAGCTGGAAGTCACGACCAGTGGGAACAACCAGGTCGGATTTAAGGAAAAATATTTACCAATGACATTCGTTGGTGGCAGCGTTAAAACACGAAAAAAGAGAAGCTTCTACAATATCAAGAGCTATGAACAAAAAGTAGCAAAAGAAATAGTGGATATGTGGCTTATTGTTTTGGGAGCACGAGATTCAATCACTGTGTCATAAGTTCGAATTCTACTCTGCTTATCAACGCTTGGGAACACAGCTAATATTAACTAACCCTCAGACAATGGGTGCAGATGATTGCTAACTGCAAGTGGTTGTCGAGTAACATTTCTCTATTTCCTTTTAAATTTACCAATCTAGAAGAGTCCGTTTGTTTACAACCCATTTTACTAGCGAAATGATTCTGTGAGAACCTTATTTCCTAAAATAAGATAGACAAGCGGTGAGAATAGTGTTGTTAACAAAAACAGTTTGTACACTTCATTTAGAAGCTTAATTTCTTCATAAAAGCCGACAAATATTTATGAGAATTATATTGAAACTTACTTTGCACCCTTTCCTACATTCCCTGGTTTTTCTAGACCATTTTCAATGTTGTTTTTGAGATGAATATTTTGAAGAGTTTCTTCTCTAAATGACTGGTATTGCGGTTTTGTTACTGGTAAAGGTGCAGGAGGTGGTGGCGGCAGACAACTCTTTGCCGTATTCATAGAAGTATCTAAGCCTATTGTATTTGCCAACTGACTTTTGATTACATCAGATTTGTTTAAATTCAGTCTGCTGGCTTCACCGGAAAGCGATGGGGCTGATTTTGAATCAATAGATATTGTAGAACTAAAACACTGGGATGAAGATGGACGAGATGTTTTCGAAATAATAGGACGTGGAGGTACATTTGGTTTAGGAGAATCCAGCTGTGTTGTTGATAAATTTGTATTGCATAAAAAGTAGGATGATGGAGGGGGATTAGGCAAAGAATTCTGTTTATACTTCAGTGTAAATGAACCTCGACTGTTTGAAGGTATATGAAAGGGAATATCATTAGTTGAGTTGGGTAGCTTTGGATGAATATGAAATGTTCGTTGCGGAGACCTATGTTTCATTTTTGGAGATAGTGAAGAGTGTAAAATTATTTCACTTGGAATAGTGAACATTGAAGAATCAAAATTTTGAGCAATATTTGGGACAGAATTTGTGAGATTTCCTTGAGATATGTGTGTTGTTGGATTCGCATCGTTCGATTTGCTTCCATTTACCAACTTAGTAGACTTAGCCTCTTCCATAACTTCATGGGCTAATTTTACTTGGTAGTCAGTTTGAATACAAGGCTAAAGTAGAAGAAAAAGATCATTTTGGAAAAGTACTTACAAAAACAGCAGAATAATCAATAAAAACATTATGAAACAACTTTGAATGACAAAAAAGCATATCGGTGGTTCAATGGTAGAACCACCCGTTAACTACACCTTACGTTGTCTGAGGTCAATATCTGGCCTATGCATTTATAAACCTCGCTTAGCCATTAATAAGCCCGGTCAAAAGGGAAGACTAGGCGTGAGGTTAACGACACTAACCTGTAAGAGGAAACACCACTGCTATTGCAAAATTCAAAGCTCTATGTTCCACGCTGAATGCATAGGAATGAAATATAGCAATAGTTGTCTTCGGTTACATTTCACTGTCTAGAGTTCAAAAGACAAATGTGTATTTTTTTGCAAACTGTCGAGTCGGTTCAAATTTGTAGAATGTCGTTAAATAAGAAAAATTATGACCCCCTAATTTGCTTTCACTTTATTATTTTGTGAATATATATATATATATATATATATATATACCAGAAGGTTCTGGGGTTTGAACCCACTGGGTGCGTACCACTGAAGATTCGCAAACCGGGACGAAACAGCTGTCCAGTACTCCCAAGTTTGCCGATGGTTCTTTAACCGATGTCAGATCATGATGAAATCCTGCAATAAATCAAACAAAATCCCTACAAAAACCAATACTTAAGAATATATATATAAGTCAAGAATAATCCCCTCATATAGCCTACGCAAGTAGAAATATTACTGCTTTGTACATGCTTCATTTTGTCAGCTGATATAAATTTGAGCTCATAGTCTGATAAACAACATATTGACATAAGGATAAAACGTGGGCACTCTGGTAGAGTATAATTCCATTATGGATAAAATTTTATCTTGATAAAGTCATACAGTGTTATACAGTAACATTTACTGATGACGTTATATGAGTACCGTGGTATGATCATGAGTAGCAATAAATTGTGCTGGAAACGTCATCAGTAAATATTACTGTGTAACACAGCGTGTCTTTATCAAAATAAAATTTTATCCATAATGAAACAGCATATTATTTTCTTTTATTATCAGTAGGTCAAAAAAGACAAATAATACTTATGCAGAAATTCACCTATATTCTTGCTAATTAGTGATTTTTCCTAGGACGTAAACAATAAACTAACAGATTACACTGTAATCTTCTATGCTCAGTGATATACTCACAGATTTAAATACTGCTTCAATACAGATTTCGTCATGAACCAAAATAAGTTAGACAACCATTGGAAACCAAGATGTACTGGACAGCTGTTTCGTTATTCAGAAGTGTTCACCTACGACCCCACCATGGATCGAACCTAGGACTTTCAACTAACGAGGTCAAGCTCGTTGACCTTTCAACTACTTGGGCAGGAATTCAATGATCCATGAATTCCAACTCCTGTCAACCTTTAATTAATGCCTTCGAAGAGCATCCACTTCAACTTGATATGGTGAACTCCAATGGACACGACATTTTTCGTACATCTTCAGGATATACATTCAATAGGCATAAAAATGAGTTGGGAGTTGACAGTTAGATTCTGGGTTTTTGTAGGAATCTGGATTAACTAAAATGTAGTGAGTGAGTACTGCCGAAGGATTCCAAACTAGGACGAGACAGCTATCCAATGTCCCTTGGTTTCCAACGATCTCTAATTGGCGTTTGTTCTTGACGAAAATCCCCTTCAGATCTCGATAAAACCCATAATTTAAATATCATTATTGCGAAAATATTTACAAAGTTGGAGCAAACAAGGTTTTGTTACAATCATAGGTAAATTCTAAGCAGTCTGGATTCGGAGATTAAGCAATACACACGAAAATGGAAGAAAACAACAGTGGAAACATTAAGGGTGATAAAGAAAAAATTACAAAATCCAATCCAACAAGAAAAGATCTTGATCCAGAAAACGAATTAGTTTTATTTCACTAGCTTTTATCAATTGAAAATATTCTTTAATCAAGTAGATTATTAAGAATCATAAATAACCAGAAGACACCAAAATTAAAGTAGTCTGAAATCCAAATCGCAAAATTGAGGAGAGAAAATTAGCACCCCAAAAGGAAACCATGGAATATTTATTTGTAGTTAGATTGAAAGCTCTTGAGTAAGAAGTGTAAGGAGACAATTGTGAACTCACAGAGAAGAGCACGTAAACTAACAGGAGACGAATAGAGGTTGAACAAAGTTGAAACGATCATTGGAAGAGAAATTACGCGCAACAACAAAACAAAATCCCCTGTTTTGACATGTCGCTTATCTTACTTACAGTATAGAATCTGGAACAGTATGACTGTAAAATTTTTTGTTGGATGTTACAAATGGAAACATTGTACACAACTTTTGTTTAGAAGGATTCATTGTAAAATATACATGACTTTGAGTTACAGCGTGCTGTTCGACGCTTTGTCTTCTTACTGGTCAATACTGTCTACTTGCTGCACTACTAACCGTGTTGTATCCTTTGGATTTTCGCAGGAACCTATCATCCTCATCTGAGAACTACTTTACAGCTCCTACTAGCAGACACGATCCCAGCAATGAACGCTTCTGTGGATTATATTAATAATTTGTAGCAACGGACTTTAACCGTGTCACCAAATAGCCATTAATTTCTTACCGTGAGTTTTTATCCTAATATTTTGTACCGTTACCGAGCTCGCTATTAAGTCCCCTACAACAAGTGTGAAGATATAAATGTTTTTCTTCCTATAGCCTTCTAGAACAAAGGATTTAGCACTCGCCTTTCATTTTAAGAAAAAGAGACTCCATATTTCTGGCGTTCATAGAGCGCTCGCTGATAGCTGATTGAAGACTTTGTTTTTTTGTTTGTAACCTTCGATATGAATTCCTTTTACACTTTTCGATAAGACTGTAGAGTTAAATAATTCTCCAAAATTATTAGCCTACAGCACTCTTCACTCAACATTGGATGCTGACCTTCACTATTTAAGCCAGCTTGTTAAGCTGAAGGTACGCGGTCGAGCATCCACACCATTTGACACGCTGTCGTGTTTCGTTTGGTTGTTTGTGCACGATCCCCAGCAAGTTAATCAATCTTCATCACCGAACGTTTCTGATCCTGAAATATGTCTCGTATTTTGGACAATCAATTTATTGTTTTGATTTTTCTCTGGTCTAAGCAGAACAAGTGCTTTGGATTCGGAGGGTAGAAACTTACGTTTGTATACAGCATATGTCACGTAACCGTCAACATCTTTAATCTCCTAAAGCAGTTATTTCTTAATTAAAGGTAGTTTTATATAAACACTGAAACGAAGCAACATTATTAAGCAGTTGTCTCAAACTACTTGTATATACAGATAACGAGGAATAAGGTACTGCACACATCAAAGACTTCAGAAAATTTTCAAAGGAAAAACATCGGTTTAATACCCTAAGAAATCATTAACTTACAGAGAGCATAGATGCAGTTGCTAGTGTAAAATGTGTTGGTTCCGTATAGTTAATTTCTGCACCTCGCTTGTAGTTTGAAGTTCCATTACAATTAACTGAATCTGATTGACTTGGTGAACTCAATCGTGTGGTTCCAACTTCTAAAGGATTTGAAACTAACAATAGGAGGGAAAGTATTCACTTATAAGTTGACAGTGATTAGAACAAGTGAAAAAAACAGTGTTATAATGTTATTATTCGATGAACTCACACTTTATGCATATATCCAAACCGAAGCGGCTACCTCGGAATGACGTAAGGGCTCCCAGGCTACAAGGACACAGCAATTGGTCCCGTAGACCAACTGTGCCAGCTGAATATCGATAAGACTGAAAGCAGTTATCCTCTTACTGTAATATTCTTGCACCATAATAACAGTCTGAGGAAGAAGTCAAATTACCGTGCATGAATGAGGCATCACTTCAGTAAAATAACTTCCTTGGGACAATGGATAAAACAGATTTGTTACCTTTTTACTCTAAGGGAATCAAATTAAACAGTACACCGCTTGTTACCCTTTCACGTATTTCCGAATACAAAATTCACATTGCTATGACAAATTCATTATGAATTGTTGCTCGTCTCCCTACATATAAAAATGTATGTAAAATATTCAACTGGTGAGTTTTTCTGAAATTTGATGGATTTATGAAATCCAATTTAACTAACACTTATTGTTTCTTTTAAAGGCAGATTATGTTGGAGAGAAATAGGGATGGTTAGACGAAAACACCATTTCAACACATTCAATCTATGACTGTTAGTCGAGGTACGTAAAAAGATGTAGGTTATCTGAGTTAAGGAAATCTAGATACGAACAATCAGCATTTTAGTAACATCAGTCACAATCGTTTATAATGACACAGACACATCGAAATATGTATTAACCTAAACTCATTATCAAACTTTTATATGTCTCTTGTGGTGTTATTTCATATGCATTCCTTAATTTAATTTTTTTTATTTTTGATATTTATATTTTTGATTACAGCTTGATTCCACACTGTATTTTTGGTATAAGTATGGAATTTTCAGCATGTGATATCGGTAGCCCAAATTTTGCAGGCCGACCATAGATATCAGGTGTGCGTCGGCAGAGGGTCGAACCTCAGACCATGTGCATGGTCAGCGAGATTCCTAACCACTGTGCCACCGACGCACTTTTACTTTTACAAAGTATTGCGTCTTTAAGTGATGCATGTTTATGCGGAATTCTACGCCAATAAGCCCGCCATGGTGTAAAAATACTTTCGTCTAGTTATCAAACAAATTACCAGGTGGTTTCATTCTTATGATATCTTTTATCAGAATATCACAAATACCCACTGAAAACCCTGATTCACCTAACTGTGCTTCCTAGCGTCATATGAAACTATTGTAAATGTTCTAAGAACTTAACACAGTGAAAATATGTGGGTGAACTGAACACATACTTATATTGCTGGCTCACTGGATCTAGCCAAAATGAATTCACAAAAAAAATTCAGAAAAACTGATTTATAACTAAGTTATGAAGCACAGACACGGTTCATAACCTTCGGTATTTCAAACAATGACTTGTATTAAATTTTCTGGTTTCTTCTAATGAAGCAGACTGCTGTAAGATGAAGACAGATGAGTACTGGTGTTATTATTGATGATAATCAACCTTGAACATTTCCAAATCAACATTCTTCCCTTCTAATTTTTCATACCATTTACATAGACGATTACTCACATTTATTCTTAAACTACTTCAGGAATATATTTCGAAAGTATAATTCTAGTGTAACCATCGCAAAGTTTCTTACTGACTAGTTGGTACGATGTCCAAGATACAGTTCAGCCACGACACAGGACTGAAAGAGAAACACCTCAGGTAGAGTGACTGCATACTACCAGTTATCACCCAACACTGGAGTCAGTCAGGGTTGCTCAGTCTCACCAATTCGCTTTAACTTAACCACTGATAGAGTTCTGGAGGCAGCTCTGAACGGTATGTGTGTGTGCTAATGTAGATTTGCTACCTGGAGAAAGAAACTAAGACCTTAAGCGTACTTAATAATACCATCTTACTGTATGATAACATACTGCCCAAATTGCATTTAATCAATGAGTCCATGTAAATATAGTCTGTACTTTTTTCGCCCATGTGGGTAGAATGATTGAGAGATTCACAGGAGCCTACACCTCCACCCATCCTCGTAAGTGAGCAGTTAGAAGTAGTCTACAAGTTCATGTATCTAAGTTGTTATGTGACTGCTAGTGCTGTGATGAACATCTGACCGTACAGTGAAAGCTAGGACAGTATACGCCAAACTGGGCCACTCATGGCATCGTCACAACGTCAACCTAGCCATCAGATATCAGGTTTACAAGGCTTAAGTGTGTGTAATTTTACTCTTTACCGTGAAATCTGACCTCTGTGAGCTGAGAATATGGAGCTTTCTACATGAATAATTGTCCCTGCCTCCGTAAAACTGCTTGCATCTAATATTATCACTACGTAAGTAATTCTGAAGCCCTACTGAGTGTTTGGACACAGTAGAAATCATCCTTTAACAAGTGCTATTAACATGGGACACTGGCTTCGGAAATGTGTTAAGACTATCATCCCAGCGATTCATATACCGTTTTCTCTTTCCTAACCCTGAAACTAGATGGGAAAAGTGGGGAGATGACCATGAGACAAAGGATATTTATGCTAGGTTAGCATCCGTTAGTACACAACAACTCCCTGGTTGGGATCCAAGAGATAATGCAAATCAATGGTTCGAGACTTTATCAAGCACGACTGGGAATCGTAATCACTGGCGAACACTGAGATTTCCTCCTTTCTTATCTTTCTGAATGTAACATGACGAAGTGAACCAGCCTTTGAATGTTCCTGTTAAGTGTAATTACTTGCTAAAGTGTGCTAAAAAGCACGAAGCCTAGATCTAGAGCTCCTCAATGATTGCCGTGTTTTACTGGCACTTTTTCCCTTATTTATTCTACTTCAACCTTCCTTGTAATGATATTTTATTTTTTTTGGTTGAGCATCTCTTGGTACTCAAATTGCATCAAGTTTGAGTTTGAATGAATGAATAAATAAATAATAAACAGGACTGATACAAATCAATAAAGAGTTAAGAGACAATATGCAAAAAATGTTTGCTTCTAAATTTATTAGCATACAAAAATAACTAAGAATAGAAGATATTTAAACAGGATAATTTCATTAATTATTAGGACGGAAGTATGCGTATCCACCTGCATAATAATAAAACTACTTACTTATCAGATTCTCCACATAAAAGTCACTACCATTAACCTATGAGCAACCAAAAAGTTATCATCTGAATACAGCTCACAAAAACCCATAGGACTCACTACAAACATTCGTGTACTAAATTTTAGTCAGACAGTAAGGATGAAACGCTTGAAACACTTTTTTTAATGTCTAGTATGACTTCACGATGATTCTTGACTGACTAACTGAGTTCTAACATAGAACTTTGCACAGAAGTGCAGCAGTTCAATTCGCCACACACAGAAAAAAAAGAGAAAATAGATAAACAAAAAAGAACTATAATAAAAAGAAATGTGAGGGAGAAAGGACAGTATCATGGAGAACCTTGAAAGTTCTTTGGAGATGATAGATCACAAAGAGTGAGTGAATTTCCGCCATTGAGATCAGTTATAAGCATTGGTGCTCTGCATCTCAGAGAAACCCAGCAGTCAGTAAACACCTCGCTATGTGGCTCAAGCCAACTATCGAATACTTTCAAGATTTACGCCAAGTTTTGGTTTGACCACCCTTAGCTCTTTTCTCACCTAATCCTGCGTCAGCTAACATTGCTCGTCAAGGAAGGTGGTGGCTTGGTGTATACGCAACACGTGTTTTAACCAGCCCAACTGATACAGCTTCTCAACCTGATCGACTGGCTTCCTGTTCTTAACTAGCACTCTATGCCTAACCCCAACAACTGCTCACCATATTGTGCCACCTATGGTTTACATTTGAGTAAACAGATAAGACATAGATTTGAATGAAATGAACAAATGAAAATTTAGTCACGTTTCTTATTAATTAGCATAGGTTGTTTGTGAGCAATGATACTCGTTCTATTTGTAAACTTCCAGTTATATGGCGAAAAAAAGTAGTAAGTTATAGACCATTTTCATTCCTTTAAAGACTTCTATGACTCTTAATGAATATCCTTTACATGATGCCAAATATGCTGCATAAACTACACATAAACTCGGTTTAGACATCTACACTTTGAATACTTTTATTGAGAAGTCTTTAACTGAGCGAGAAGTTTATATATATTGATCAATTGTAGTTAAATAATATTGAGCCGATCGATAGAGTATCCATTTATGCACTTTATAGTTTTGTGTAAATACGAATCTGTTGAATGAATGAAATATTATCTAGAAGAAAGTAATTATTAAACATCTCGATTTTCAAAATATCAACATAAAAATTGAAGATGAAGAATAAATGAAAAAAAATAAAGTAGATTTTATTTGAATAGATCTTATACATCCAAATACTTCGGTGAGTAGATATTAAAATAGCATAAATGTTAAAATCGAAAGAAGTACCGAAACACTTGTACTAGTAACCCAATGTACCAGCAGAATTTGACAACAAAAAACCAGTAAAAATAAAACAACCAGAAATTCGGTGTTTCGAATAATTTCAATTTCGATCACAAATTGACTTCAATTAGGGAACCACTGAAGATCAAGGAGTAATGGACAACTGTTTCCTGCCAGTTTGTGACTCTTCATCTATCTGCGCTCATCACCTCACCAGCGATCGAACCCAAGGACTTCAGGTTACAAGGCGAGGTTGTATACCATTCAGCTCCTGCGATGGAGTCCAATGGTTCGTCAATTATAACTTCTGCAAACTAACACTTGAAAACTGATCTAGTACTCATTAGTGACTCCTTATAGGATGAGATTGACTGAAGCATTAGTGGGAAATCGTGATCCACCGAGTTAGGCGTGAGGACAGATACTCATCGATGAAATTGGCTATCACGAATTTGAAGAAGTTGGAATTCATGGGGCATTAGACTTCAAATTGAAGTATGCGCTGAAGATGTCACCCAGTAGGGTGATGAAAGCTTCGCAAATTAAC